GTAAAGAGGTCTGGCGCCCTCTTCTGGCCTTCAGGCATACAGACAGAATATTGTATACATAATAAGTAAATAAATACATATTTAAAAAAAGGAAAGAAAGGGGGCATGTATCGGAAAGAGAGCAAAAGGAAGTACATGGGAAAGTTTGGAGGGAGGAAAGGGAAGGTAGGAAATAATGTCATTATGTTATAAATTATAACTTCAGAAAATAATATAAAATATTATATATATATATAATCATAAATATATTTTATATAGATTAAATAAAGAGAAGAAGAAGCTACCAAAGCCAGGCTTCCAAGCTTACTATAATGCTACATATGCTGCAATATCTTAATCTCAGGATGAAGAGAATAAAACAAAGCAGAGGTGTTGAATGTGGGTTCCAGAAGTGGGAAACATACTTATTCTCAGTGTCAAAAGGAGCGCCTCCTCAACAGATCAGTGTGGACTAAACAGCAAATGATAATCAGCTCAAGACAAATAACAGAGATAATCATAAACATTAACACATAAATCCCTGAGGAAACAAGCAAGAGTATGTGCTCAACCTCGGGAGGGCACTCTCTCTGAGAGTACACAAAAAGGACTAAATGTAAAAGAAACAAAATGATGTTAGACAGCCTCACAATGTGAAGTGTCTGATTCAATAAAAGTCTCAGGAAAAGCACAAAGGTCACAAACCAGCTCACCCAGCTCAAAGTATGCAGAACACAGTAAAAGAAAAGGAGTAGGAAAGAAAAGACAATGCGAATTATAACACAAAGAGGATACAATGTTTAAAATGAGGGAAGTCACCCAGAAAAAAGAAGAAAGAGTATTTATGTTTGTCATTGGGGCTGGAGAGACAGCTCAGTGGTTAAGAGCACTGGCTCTTCTTGTAGAGGACCCAGGTTCAATTTCCAACACCCACATGCCAACTCACATTGTCTGTAACTCCAGCCCTGGAGGATCAACGTCCTCATACAGACTTACCTATAGGCAGAAAACCTATGTACAAAAAATAAAAACACCAGGTGTTGTGAGACCAGAGGCCAGATCCAGAGACCAGGTTTAGCTGGCAAAAGATACAGAGAAGAAATTATTTTGTTTTTGACTGAATGCTTTGTGCTCTCTGATCAATGCGTCTGGATTTTATAGACAATGAAAAAAAATCTTCATTTTCTGAGTTTTGCTTTTTACAAACATAATTCATTTTGTATACATTATTATCTACCAGGTAAAAGAAATACATGCTTGAATTTGTATCTCAGGTAGAAACACTGAAAAAAAAAATACCAGCAGTTAAAATTGAAAACACTTGATACCAGTGTGGCTCATCTACAGGAACCACATTTTGGTGGTCACTAATCTGGTTATTGTTTAAACTCAAGCACCAAAAAGCTTGTATTATAAATTTACTTAGCAATATTATATACTAAATATCACAATTTGCTTGCCTAATGCAAAATGATCGAACAAGGGACAAAAAAAAATGCCTGTCAATTTTCAACTGTGAAATATTTCTTTTAGTAAATGATATCTCTGAAAAATACAGAGGACAAAATACAAGTGAGTTAAAGTGCAAATAATACACATTTGCCTTTGTAATAATTCTCTGAAGGGATGAATACTATATCTAAAACTTAAGCTGGGTATGGTGGTACACGCCTTTGATCCTAGGACTCAGGAAACAGAGGAAGGTGAGTCTCTGAGTTTGATGCCAGCCTGATATACAAAGAGAATTCAAGGACAGCCAGGGCTACACTGAGAAACCTGTCTCAAAAATAACAACAAAATATATGTGGGATGTGTGTGCATTATATATATATATATATATAAGAATATATATAACATATATATATACATATATATTCTTTTCATAGCTGTAGGCAATTACAATAGTGCAGTCAATTTATTTTGGGAATTTGCTATCCAAAATTAACTCTACCCACAAAACATTACAGATAAGTATTATAACCCCAGGATTTAGGATGTGGATGCATAGGATCCAAAGTTCAAGGTCTTCCTTTGTGAGACAAAGAATTTACTCAAGCATGGGTACATGAGATCCTGTCCGAAAATAAAATAAAAGAAAGAAAAAAAAATGCAATTAATTCTAAGGAAATCCAGACCTTACCTCCTCACATTCTAATTACTTATTTTGTTATGGTTACAGGTTTTTAAAAAACTCGGTGAACATGCTATGGAGTTTCTCTTCAAACACTAAATATGTGCTTATAAGCAAAAGATTTTGCATTTCTGGAAATCCATGAGGTGACCATTAAGAAAATTTCCAAAAATGAATCATTTTAGCAACCCATATAGAGTCAGTTAATGAGCAATTAATTCTAAATGCTGGAGAGAGATATGGTTTGTATCTGCAGGCAGGAACCTCCTCTATCTGACAGAAAAAAAAAAAAAAAAAAAAAAAAAAAAAAAAAAAAAAAAAAAAACCTCTGACACAGGTGGTGCTTTGGGAAGCTGTGACTAAGTGCATGGCAGGAAAGGCTTTCCATGATCCCATTCCAGTTCTAAAGAAATCCTAAGTCTTAAATCAATGATGGTCCAGTAGTATATTAACAATTTACTGGTCCTATTAAAAATGTTTGGTGTATACAGAAGTGTTTTCAGACATGTAGAAATAATTGCAAAGCCCCCACTCCCACCACAGTTCACCGACACCAACTGGTTGAGCAAACTGAAGGAGGTACACTCTTCCTCCAAAAGATATTTTAATTTGAATATAGAATACTCTTTGAGGAAAGGAAAGAGAGAAGAAGGGAGGGGATAACTGTTTAGAAAAATTTAAAAAAAAGGTACTGTAACTCAACCCCCTGTAATTACTACATTAATCCTTTCAAATATCCTGAGTTTGTTTGATGTGTGATCTGCATTTTATTTCAGACAGATTTCTTAACAGCAAATTGTTTTCCATTTTCATTTGTAACCTGTGGTGACATAAAGTGAACCGAGTTCTATAAATTACCATGGAAATTGATGAAGCCAACAGTTTGGCGGAACAGAGCCCCGAGGATATGACAAGCACAAGGAAAATAGGAAGCTTGCAATTGCAGATCCAAATTGGAGAACACCACATTGGAATTGCAAATTCCTTAATACTAAAAGTGGACAGCGCCTATAGCTGCTTCACCCAATAGTTTTGCAAGAAAATTAAAATCAGTCACTCTGTTAGCACCACTACTTGAAACTTGTATACCCTCAAGCTGTAGGGTGCTCTTCACCCGAAGTGCACATTGGGATCATCCACTGTTGATTGCTGGTGGCTAGTCAACATGTCTGAGTCACTTTAAAGCCTTTCTTTGAGCAGCATCATGACCAGATGGCTTAATGAAGCCACTTTGTCTGAGACCATGACTAAGTGCTGCTGTGGGGACAGACATTTTGTCACGGAATCAGAGTTAACTTTTTTTTAAAAAAAGTCTCTGCCACTGAGGAACCCTGACATGCTCTATTTGCAAATCGTCTGCATGAAACCAGGAAGACAGAAGTTCTGAAGCTGCTGGCTTAGAGAAAATGAGGATGCAATTAAAAAGAAAAAGGTTAGGAAAAGAACATGCTGAGAATTGAAAGCAAAAATCTGAACGTGATGCCCCAGTCTGCTCATAAGGTTCTTCTCGCAGTGCAAAAAGCAATCTCCAGTCCTCTACTTGGCCCAGCCTCTGCTGTCTTCTCTCTCCTGTTGCCTGCTCTTGTGTTATTTTTTTTTACAACTCACTGAAATAGTAAGAATTTTGAGCATTCAAAATCTCTGCTCTATTACTCTGATGATACTCATTATCCCGAATTGATTTGTTTCCCGAGACCTCTGTTGCATCTTTCCTTTAGTTTTCAGCTCTTTGCCAGTGGTTCTTCCCCAATACTATGTTGTTTCCACCAAGTATATTAGCAATCTTTTCGGGAAGACCCGGACCCATACATTAATCTAGAATGATTCTTGGGAGCACAAACACACTTAAAAAGGAGGAAAATTTTTCAGTTTGTTTCTTCATTTATACATGGAAGAAGAAACAGGGAGCTTTTAAATCATGTTTCATAAAGATCACTGAATTGGAATGGAAGGAGACCGTGGGGATTTTCTAGTTAACAGTGAAACATTATAATTTTGCACATAAAGAAGTTGTGGCCCGAGGAAGAATATGATTTACTGAGAGTAGCCCCAATGGTGTTAGAACTAGTCGGTATAAACTCTCAAGTCCATGAACCAAAAGCCCTAGTGATACAAAGTATCTGTACCAAAGACAAACTCTTCCTGGATGATAAGGACCAAGTTCATTCTCCCATTTCCACTGTGACTGCTCTTGAGCATCACTCTTGGGTTTAGATGGCATCAAACTCTCATTATTTGAAAGCAATCATATAAAATACTCCACTACGCATTAACCTCCCTACAAGGACATTTTTATTTGCTTTGATAAAACCAGCCCCACCTGTCTCTATGCCTCATTAGAAACTGACACTAACACAAATGCCCATTCAAACTGAGACCTGAGATCAGCATGTTCCCAGTTAAAAAGTGGAGGAAGACCTAAGTGGGAAAACGAGTCTCACATGAGGCAGGGAAGGGGCAATTCTGACTTCTGACCCATTCTGGAACTATGATTAAACTTTCACAATGAGAAAATACCTGGATGCTGCCTGGACCAAGAGCTCATTGTACTCTAGAGACACAAGACAGGTAAGAATTTCATGGCCTGGCAGACTGAGAAATTGTACAATAAGACCAATTTAAATTCATTTATAGTCTTAGCCAGCAAACCTTGTGATACTCAAAAATTACAGACAAATTACCCAAATTTGTTTGGACAAGTAATCCATTTATAGGTGATCCAAAGCTAAGGAATACTATTAGGGAAATGGCTATTCTAGAGCAGTTCTGCAAACTGTAATCTTGTTCGTGCTAGAGTTAAAGCAAACAAGCCTTTTCAATCAGTTATCAACAACAGGAACACATCCATTTTCTCTTAAGCCTGGTGGTTTCAGAAAACTCACTGAGTTACCTTCAATAAGATGAAAATGGTGAGGGGGAGGAGCAAGCAGAAAGCAGGGTGTGCAGATCGCAGGACTCAAGAAGGGTCTGTGCAGGTAAGTTTCAATCACCAACCCGACACAATACAGAAACACCTGGAAAGATAATTACAATGAGAAATTGTGTAGATTAGATTGGCCCGTACATTTGTCTGGATGGCTAACTGTTATGGGAAGACCCAGTTTAAAAGGGGGTATCATCGTTCCCCGAATTTAAATCCTGGGTTTTATTTTTAAGACATATTATTTATTTTATTAATGTGTTTGTACACTGGTGTGCAGGTGCCTAAGAAGGTCAGAAGAAGGTGTGAGATCCCCTCAAGCAAGAGTTAGTTATAAGCATTTGTGAGCCAACCGACGTAGGTGCTGTGGACAGAACCCTGGCCCTTTTCAGGTGCAATTCCTAGCCACTGAGCCATCTCTTTAGTCCTGGTCCCAGACCTTATGAAAAGAAATGAGCTGAGTATAAGCATCTGTACATTAATCTATTGTTCCTGCTCATGACTGGGGAATGTTGCTGCTTTGGGTTCCTGCTGCCTCGGCTTCCCCTCAGTGATGGACTCTAGTCTGGAAATATGGGCTAAGTCAAACACTCCCACAAACTGCTTCTTGTTACCGTGTTTTGACACAGCAGAGTAAACAAAACTGGGATGGGTGTGATAATTCTCACCTCATTTTTCTTTTTATTTTTCGAAAACATGAGCACTTATTTTATTGTGTGCATAGTGATAAAATACTTGAAAGGAAAAAAAAGCACTTATTCCTTAAAGTCACACAAAGAAACTCTCATAACACATGGAAGGAAACTAAATATATTCAAAAATATGTTTAAAATATTGTAGCTAAATCATACCGGACCAAAAAAGAAACATTTTGAGCAACAGTACATATAGTAACTGCGATATGTTGACACTCCAAAAACATAGAACTCAGAAAGTTCACAGTGATACACACGGGCAAAAGGGAAAGTGCAAACCACTGTGAGTGCTGGGTGCAAATGCTATGCTGACTTCCTTCTTCAAGGTCTACCTGAGCTAAGCAAACAGCTGATGAAGGGACGTTTCTCACCACACACGTTTTTAATGCATAAAAAGGGGAAGCAGAAGAATTACAGTGCCACACTAATGAAGTGATGGCTCTAGACAACCATCAATCCCCTGAACAACAAAAGACGCTCAGGTTACTCTGGGGGTGGAGAGGTTCCATGAAATATCCCTGCCCTAAAACTGAACCTGAATTTGATCAACTCCTTTAATTCAAATGCCTTTGAGAATAAATACAGGTCTCAGAGGAGCATGTAAAATGATAGCACTATAGTAAAATCAGCAGAATTCACAAAATGAAAAATCCTGCAGTTCATCCTGGTTTCTTCAACAAATAAATTACAAGGAGGAAAAAAAAAAAGGACAGGAAACACAGCAATGGATTTCAAACGCGTGTCTTCAATTTGTAGCCAGGTAGTGTTATTTTAGGAGAAATTATTGTTTTAGAAAATGTTTACAGTTTTCTAAGTAGTTACTTTATAAGGATGCATGCAGCCCCACTCTTTGAATACACTTGAACCCTAGTGTTAAGTGAAAACTCTTGACGAGGAAATGAGATCGATACAGATACTAATTGTTGATGCCGAGGTATGTCTACATAGAAGATCTGGCATAGTACCCTGTCTAGTTTCATATGCTAACTATTACACTAAATTAAAAGGCTTCTTAAGGTGTTCTGCTTTATCACAATCTGATTTTTATAGCACATCTGATTCATTTTAAATAAAATAAGGAAGACCAGAACTGCAGAGATGATTCAGTGTTTAAGAGCTCTTTTAGCTCTTACAGAGGATCCAGGTTCAGTTCCCAGTATCCACAGAGTGGCTCACAACTGTCTCTATACAATCCTCCAGTTCCAGAGAATCTCACACACTCTTGTGACCTTGGTGGGCAACAGGGGTGCACGTGGTGCACAGATGTGCATGCAGGCAACACAACTGTACACATAAAATAAATAAACATGAAGGATAACCAGCGTTTGATTATAAAATGATCAGAGGTTACCTTTCTGCTGCTGTTTATAGTATCAGTCGTTTACCCATTCTTCCTCTACCTAACCTTTCTACTAGTTTTTACTAGTAATATAGCAAAGACAGCTGTCATTTACAAAGTATCACTTATGCAGAAATTAGTTGAAAAGCAAGTAAGAACTATCACTGGCTTATGACAGTTATTTAATAGTTTGTACTTTGTGCTTGATGTGTCTTTTCAGGTCTTTATAATAAACTTCAAACCATCCATCAATTAACTTAGAAGAAGTACCACCACTCTGTAAAGTTCTGTGTGTGAGTGTAAATATCAATGGCTCAAGCACTGGGCTGAGCTCCTGGTGTTCAATTGAAGAGAGCAAGGAGAGAGCATATGAACAAGGGGGGGGGGGGGGGGTCAAGAGCATTATCAGGAAAACCAGAGAGAAAAATGACCCAAGCTAGCGGGAGTTCATGGACTATGGACAGACAGCTGAGGAACCTTCATGAAACTAAACTAGGCCCTCTGAATGTTGGTGAGAGTTTTGTGGCTTGATCTATTGGGGAGGGGGCCCTGGAAGTGGCACCAAGACCTATCCCTATTGCATGAACTGGCTTTTTGGAGCCCGCTCCCTATAGTGGCATACCTTGCTCAACCTTGATATGGGAGAGGAGCTTGGTCCTGCCTCAAGTGGGTATGCCAGACCTTGTTGACTCGCCAAGGAAGGCCTTACCCCCTCTGAGGATTGGATAGGGGTGGTGGGAAGGGAGGAGGTGAGGGCAGAAGGAAAGGGAGGGGGAATTGGGGTTGGTATGTACAATGAAAAGTGAATTTTTCTAATTAAAAATGAAAAAAGAAAAAGAAAATCAATGGCTCAATACCTTGGACTTAACCTATTTTTAGATACCAGCCATTCATGAGTCTACATTTTCCTGGACTTATTATATTACAAACAATCCAAAAATTACTTGGAACCTTCCTTGGTCTACATAAATCTTTATTGGACAGATGGAAGGAAAAAATAACTGCAAATCTTTAAATTTCTTTCAGCATGAACATTCTTTAAATATTTTTCATTGAACTAAGTTTAAATTGTTGGTCTTGGTGAAAAATACATGTGAAATTTAAACTGTTACTATTATTGTGATCTTAGGCAGGCAAATAGTAACATGGAATATGTTTAAATACTCAAAAATACAATAATCCAAGGGCTGTAGATGTTGCTCAGTCATGGAAGTACCTTCACACATGCATGAGGACCTCAGTTCAACGCCAGCACTTATATAACTATGAAGCAGGGTAGCACATTACAGAAACCCAGCTAAGGGGAGGCAGAGATCACTGGGACTTATTAGCCAGCCAGTCTAGTCAAACTGGTGAGCTGCGGGCTCAGTAAGAGACCATGTCTCAAAACATAAAATGGAAATAGATTGAGAAAAACAGACAATATCAATTTCTCACGCACATGCACACAAACCCATGCACATAAAATGTGATACATACACACAGTGTGTAAGTCAGACATGATGCTGTCCACGTGAAATCTCAGAACTCAGAAGGTTTAGAATGGAGAATCACGAGTTCAAGGCCAGCCTGAACTTATAAAGAGACCCTCCTTCCTAAAACAACAATAAAAGGTATATAAAAACTTATAAAATAGGAAGACAACTTTCTAATTTTATACCAGGAGTCAACAAGCTCTTTCTGTCAAAACACAGTGAATTTTTGAGTTTTCAGACCATAAAACCTCTGCTGTAGCCATTTACCCTTGTCATTGGAGTATGACAGTAGCTGTAGAGAATTGTGAACAAATTATAGTGACCATCTTCCAATATCCTTTATTTATGACACTGAAATTTAATTTTATAACATTTTTCATGTATATGACATAACGTTGTTGCTTTTTCCTCTTGAGCACTTTGTTTTGTTTTGCTTAAAAATGTCAATATTTTTGGTAATTTCACACATGAGTATAACATATTTAGATCATATGTACTGCCTACCTCATCCACAACTTAGCTTAGGAGCCCACCACCCCTGCAAGCTTGGGTCTTACTTCATAGCTTGACCTGGCCTAGAATTCCCTACATAAACAGACTGGCCTTGAACTCATGGCAGACTTCCTACCTCCGCCTCCCAAGAAAGAGCTTGTACTACAAGGGTGCACCACCAAACTTGACTAGGTCTTTAATGTTGTTCAGTCACTTTAAAAACGTGAGGTTAGAGGGTCTGGAGAGACAGCTTAGCAGTTGTTAAGACTGTGTATTCCTCCTTCAGAGGCCCCAAGTTGGGTTCCAAGAACACACCTGCCTGTAACTCCAGCTCCAGAGATCTAATGACATATTCTGGTCTTCATAGACAGCTGTGTTCTTGTACATACATGTACTCAACCACACACATACCTGTAATAAAAATAACTGTTTAAATGTAAGGTTAGTAATATGGCTGAATAGTACAGCATACACCTGAGTGTGTACAAGGCCTGAAGGATCCACACACAGTACTGTCAAATAGCCAATAGTCATAATGTAAAAGCTAAATTAAATCACATGGAAATAGACAGTGGTTTGAATTTAGCCTTATATCAGTTGCTTTTCTGTTGCTGAAGTGTCAAGAGGTGGGCAGGTTGCTCCAAAAGCAATTTAATGAGGAACAGGGTAATTTTGGCTTAATGTCCCAGGCGGATGCAGTCCATCATGACAGGGAAGGCTTGAGAACAGCCAGGGAAAACATGACCATAAGAGCAGGATGCAAAGAGATCATACTTTATCCAAACATGGAAACCAGAGGAAGAGAGAGAGAGAGAGAGAGAGAGAGAGAGAGAGAGAGAAAGAATGAAGTATGGTGAGGCTAGGAAACCTCAGAGCCTGCTCCAGTGACAGGCTTCCTCCAGTATGGCTCTACTTCCTATAGGTTCCATCCCCTTCCCAAACACCACCATCAGCTAGAGATCACATGTTCAAATGCCTATGCCCACAGGGGACATTTCTTACTCAAGCCACACAGGTTTGTAATTTGGCAATATTTGGTTACCCCAAATTGATTTCTTGTTAATTGCATTTTGTTTCTTGGAGCCCAATAGAA